CCACAGCAACACCTGCATCCAATGCTTTTGTGACCTGATCATAAAAGGCAATCAGGTTGGTCTGACATGACCTGCCCCTAATGAAACCGTGCTGGTTGCCCTTGAGCATCATCCCAGAAGCCGGCCCATAAGAAAAGCTGGAGGGTAAATATCCATGAAACTGAGAAGTAAATTGAATTATGAGCTTGCAATCAACAGGTTCCTATTGCCAGACATCTAGAAGACTACAAATACATTAGCCAAAATTTTTCAAACCTAAGTGGCCTACAGCCCAGGCTGGCACCAAGCACCAAACCAAGTGGGGCTGATCTGCAAAACTGCTGAGCAGTTTCATACTGAATTCAATGGCAGCTGAGTATTCAGCTATTTTTTAAATATCAGGCCATTTAGTTTTAGTATTTTATGCACTGCATTCCACTTCTATATATTCAAAAGTCTAGCAAATATTTCTATACCATCTGAGGACCTTCACTTAAATTTCCCTCAATTTTCCACTTTATTTAAATCTTCTCTCATATATCTTAGAAAAAAGGCTGCGTAGTGCAGGGCCCACTGACAATGAGTATAGCGTTTTGCCATTTTGCTGAAATTTGATTATACACAATATGCTACAGTAATATCTACAATGTTTAAAAATAATTTGAGTGCCAGTGTTGTGGCCTATGAAATGAGTGTTTCAGAGGTCTAGTGCAGAGCTTGGTTACTGATAGGGAACATGATACAAGGTTTCATGACACTGGAGAATGATAGTCTTGTGAACAGGTGACTGCAGTGGGGTGTGGGCTCAATTCATTCATGGATCTACCTAGAAGCAATCTACTGTGACAAATGCCAAAGGCATTTTTTCCCCCTCTCTTATCTGTGTCAGAGGGTGTGTAACTATTCTTATCAAGCCCAGATCCAGAAGAACAGCATGAGGAAAAGAATAAGTACTACTGGAGAAGTGTCAGACATTCACAGTATGTGCTTCTGGATTCTGAAAGTTAACTCTCAAGGAAGGATCTAAGTTATATTCTTTTGAATGAGCGGAAAACGGATAAACGTCAGTGTACTGTTTTGCCGGTAGGAGGGGTGAAATTAAGGTTAAAAAACTGCAACTCTGATCTTTCCCTCAGAGTTATGAAGTCTTTAAAGAAGGGCAGGGGGTGGTTTCCTTTCCTTGTTTAAATAAGAAATTTGAGTAGAGTTTCTGGGAAAACTTAACCCCCTGTGAGCCAAAACTGCATATTCCATTTTGAGTTATTGAGCAATACGTCCTTGGCCGCATCAGGCCAACACTGTTCTCAGTGAAATCCACTCTACATCCTTAAAGGCATCAATACAGTTGAAGCCAAATAATTCTTATTTTGTTTTATAAATGTTATTGCATTCCTCATTAAAGCAGACAGAGCAGTGGACAAGTACGAAACCACATTAAGTGGAGCGTGCACTTTCTACCATTGCCCTTCTTCCATATTTTTGGATGTTTTTATCTGAGAAAAAACAGCTCTAATCCAATGTACTGAAATCAGACATAATATTGCAAAGCTCATTTGTGAGGAGAACTTGGAAGTTACTAGGACTCAATACAGCAGATAGTACTAAATTGTGAAAAGAATGGGACTGTGGGAAAAAGAACTCAGAACAGAAGAAAAATGCACTTCCCCCCCAGCTCTGGTTTTAGAGACATATTAAATCAATACTAAATACTGTTTGCATTAAAGCAATTTAGGCTGAATGAATCTGCATCACTTGGCCCCATCATACAACTGTTCAGAGAACTAAGTATTTCATTTAAAAATGTATCACTACTTTTTAGCAGAAAAAGTAAAGCCAAAAAAGGCAAGCCCTGTACTCTTATCTTTATATTCTTGCCCATTTCACCTTCTTGCCTTGTACTCCACAATCCTGCCATTCTTTTTCCCCTGTGCAAAACAAATGGAACCCCCTCTCACCAGAACTGTTTTAACATTATCAAACATATTTTAAAACATCAAAATACAAATAACTATCAATGTGTAAGGCTATCTTAACAATATTGCTGTTATGTTGTAGAATTTTCCAATTCTAAAATGTTGTTTTATAACCTCTAAAAAAGTCTGTCTGGCTGTAACTATTTCCCTATTTGTTTGGACAATACTTCACACACAAAAATATTAAGAAGGAAAACAGCATCCAAGTGTTACAGTATTTCTTTTAAGAGCAAATCTGATAAACTGCATAAGAGCTTGAACTTGATTACCACCGAGTAAACCAACACCTTGATTTGAGGATTAAGAACTACAAAGATGAATGCAATAAGCAGGGCTTAAGAGGTCCTGGAAGAAAGCTAGGGGCCAAGAGATTTAAAAATAAAGTGCCATAGATTCAAACTGTGATCAGTGCTCTGCTGCATGAGACTTCATAACCAATTTACAATTAATTTCATTATGATCTACTGATGTACATTAGTACGTTTCTGAATGTCTTCATTGTCTCAATGACCTCAAAGAAAGCAGTGTGTTCAATATAGGCTTGTCCTAGATCCAGACTACTTCCACAATTACATTTCCAATGTGGAAAATATTCCAACGTGGAAAGATTTCCTGTTCACTTATATACATTGACCATAAGTGGATTTCAGGTTTTCAGCTCCATGAAGGGTCACTTTCTGGTAATATCAAAAGCCATGTAAGTATAACTAAAGTGGAATATATATTGTCACCAGAACCTGCAATACAGAATTTGGTCTTGGATTATCAAAAAGGGCTTCTCTTTAATAATCATTAAGTCCAATCTTTTCACTTAAAAAAGCTTTTCATTCCACATTCATTATTCCTTTTGCATCCACTTTGTCCAAATTAATCCGGATACAGAGCAATCAACATACTACTTGCACACATCTACCATGAGACCTTGCATCTAAACGAAATGTATTGCCTCACAACTGTAAATGTTTCTTGTTAAACAAATGCTATACATTTCAAAGGGAAAAGACATATCTTTAAGACTATAATTCATTTAGCCTGATGCATGAACAATAAAATTCAATACACTTCATATGAAAGGAGGAAAGCAAATCGGATAAGCCAAATAGAACAGCTTCATGTTGCAAGTGTTTCAAAATTTCAGCAAAATCTAGGAACTCAAAACTAAAGGCTATCTTTTGTTATTAGAATATGTGCAGCTGATGCATTTCAAACAAAGGTAACAAAAAGCATCAGTTCCTTTTGACAAATTAATTATTAGTAACATTCAAAGTAAAGTTAGTTAGCCCTATTCTCTAAGGACAATTTAACTGGAAGAAAGATATAAAAGTGAAAACGTCTTCACTAATAAAAAGTCAGATGAATGGAAAGGAGATGCCACTTTGTGATTAGCACCCAACTAGACTTGTAATGATTTAAAAATAATGGACTTAGAGATCTTAAGAGATCTCTACATGAAGGTCCTGCCTGCTGTAAAATTTGGTATCCTGGACCCTGGCCCAGTAACTTTATAAATCAGCTGAAAAGCATCTTTGGCTGAGGTCAAGCAAGACCAGTTAGATAAAAGACATGGAAAAAAAAAGAGAAAAAAAATGCAGAACAAGTCAGTAAAAACCCAAAAGCTAGATAGCTGGACATGTCCTAACAACCAGATAGTAGATGCTCAGGTGAAATGGCATTGTGCACTTTTCTCATTATTTAAATGTAAATTTCTCAAGTTAGGCACTCTCCAGCTAATCAAGCATAATTAAGCACAAAGAACATAAAAGTTCATACATATTTTGTGTGTTCTGCATATTACAAGAGTCAACTCCAGAATCTGATTTTCTTAACAAGAACTCGTAAAATAAACATTATTGTACCGGTGCAATTTAAAAAGAAAGATGTCAGCTTAAAAAAATATTTTTCAAGACATTTGAAAAACTATTTTTCAATGTACATACTATGTTCTTGGCCAGGTGTGTACAGAGCTTAAATGACTACATTTTTTTTTGAGAGATCATATTTTATGTGCTTGTAGACAAACAAGGCCCATACACAGTGCAATTCCAAAAAATGCCTAATGGAGTTTTAGAAGAATCACACAGTATTCATTTTAAAAGGACTATATCAAGGTTACATTGTCAATGAACTGCAGGTATCATCATTATCATCATCTCACTGAAGTGCAAATAAAGCATTTTGGAAATTATATAACACATAATTTGTAAGTGTTTAAAAAGCATACGATTTCCAGAAAGCAGTATCTGAACATATGTGGATCAGCATATAGATCTTTAAAACACAGATAGAAAATAAGTTCTGGTTAAGTGTTGCTTCAATAGGTCAACTGACACCAAGCGACAGATGTTACTATGAGACTAAAAGGAGAAGAATAATGTAATAGGAAAGTCTTTAAAATAAGTACATTTCAAGCTCAACTACTTTAATCTCTAGGATTCAGCTCAAACAATTTTACATGTGATTACTATCCTTCTCTTACCTGATGTGACCAACCAATTCAATCAACTTGTGGCTGAAGAAGTACGCAGTCAGCTCAGACACATGACTCAGCACAGAACAGACTCCAAAGAGGGTGGTAGTCCCATTCAAGTCTTGTAAGTGCCAATAAAGAAAGGTGAACACAAAACCATATCCAAATCCCATAAACCAAGCCACGAACAGCACAGAACCATACTGTATACTACACAGCATTTTTATCAGGTCCCAAAAACTAAATGACTGTGACTGGCTTGCACTGGTAGGAGTGTTGTCTGAGGAGTCAGAGGAGGTATTTCTGTCCACCTGTGGGATCTCTACCTCTTTTCTCTTGTGCTCATCTTGTTTGAAGTGGGTATAGTGGAATCGGAACTGAGTGGCCACAATTAGTGCCATTGTCATCAGCACACCAAAAACTATGAAAACAATCCTGTAGTTCTTGTATTCAGGAGCTTTACAGCCCAGACCTTCAATGATGACATCAATATGGGTATAGTCAATACCAATTCCTACAGACAACATGGCAAGGCCCCAGCCCAGAGAACCCCACATACGCTGCAGTCCATACCGGTCCCTGTGTTTGCCGAGATACTGGAGGGTCACGGTGTCCACAATAGTAACAGAGGAAGCACTGAAAAACTCTCCTATTATGACAACCAACAAGATGACTAGAAAGATAGCTTCTACTTCTTGATGATCATAAACAAGCATGACTTGATCAGAAGGTACTGGCTTTGTTGTGACAGTGGGTGGTGCTGTGCTCTGCGATTTATTTCCTGGTGGCTCAGAACTAGTGGTGATGTTTTTTGAAATAACATTTGTGTTGTTCTCCACAGCAAGCACTTCATCACTCATCTGAGTAGGTAATGGAAACAACATTTCTGGATTAAGAGTCCCCGTGGTTTCCAAAGGAAGACTGTAAGGTAACAGTTCAATAGGATTAACTGTCCCTCTTGTTTCCAAATTTGGGGAACTGGAAGTTAATAGGTCCCTCTTTCCACGAGCTCTCTGTGACATGAGACTAGCTGTGGTTAGTAGAGAAGGACTGGAAGCAATCTGTGGAGGCATAGTTACAAGGCTGCTCGCATTGGTGGGATGCGGGGGTGGAGGACCCTTTGGTACACATCTTAAGGTAGCTGGTCTAACAAATCCAATCCCCAGGTTAAATAAGACCCAACATAAAAGTGAAAAGAGAAGGACAATTTTCCCTTTTTTAAAGCGATCTGCCACCACTCCCCAGAAAGGAGCACTGCAAAACTCAATGAAGTACCTAATGCCAACCAAAAGTCCACTCTGACTGGGTGACATGCCCAGCTGCTTATAATACACAGGCAGCAATGGATAAAGAGAGCCATATGCAGAGTAAAAGAAAAAATAAAAAACTTTTGAAATCAGAAGATCGTTGTTTATTTTGACACAGTGCTTTTCTAACCAGTCTAGCTCCTCATCTGGAACAGTGGTGGTATCTGTTGAAGAGGTTTCATTTTGGGCCTGCAAGTCTTGCTCCTTGGAAATTCCATTGAAAGGATCAGCAAGCACATATTTTCTCTTCTGCTCTTCTTCATCATCAGTTAAAATGGCAACTTTATCATCAGCTGCCATGGCTAACCCCAAATATTGATACTCAGCAGGTTCTCTGGAAAGACCACGGACACCCTGGTGAGAAAAATAAATCAGACTATAGTTAAAATACAATACAGAAACAAAAAAGGAAGCAACCCTACAAGGTCACTCATTAAGACACGAAGGAAAAATAGGATATCTTATTTCTTACAGACCCTGACCCATAAATATATTAGGAACAGAGTAAGAACAAACAACATTGCATTCATTCACTGATTCATTTATGTAAGAGTAAGCAACAGTAATAGTAAAGAACAAAGGATTTACCAGCCAACACTGTCACTATTAAAAGGAATTTATTTTCCAATAGTAGTTATTATTGAAACTATGGTTACTGAAATGCAGTTATCACAGGAGAGATTTCAAAGACAAAACTGGGAGGTAAGCACCCAACTGATATTTATGACTTTAAAAATCACGTCCCGCTTTTCCTAGATTTTAACTACATTATTTACAGTATTCTTTAAATAACCCTGAAGAGTAAACATGCAAGTTCAGAAGCAAACACACACTCAAATCCACTCCAGCCTGGTACTGATCAAAAACAACAGCCACCCAAAGGCTGATGGCCTAGGCAGGATTAGTTGAATGCATACAGGAACATATAAAAGGGTCTAATACATTTCTTGGAAAGAGATGAAGTATAGCAATTATATACATCTGTAATTGATTGAGTACAAAATAATTCTGGGTTATTTTTTATGAAAACAGGGTATTGGGCCTTTGTTCAGGAACCAGTCTCCCATTTATAACATTTTTCCCATAGGAACATTGGTTCTGAGTTATGACCCTGCATGATGGAGCTGGCGGCTTGGCCATATGCAGTCCTAGGGCTTGCCTGGATTGCATGCTGCCAGGGCCTCTGCCTGCCATAGGCCCTGAGCACCCTGAGGGCCCGCCGCCAGCTGCTGCCGCTGGTGGAAGGGGCTGTGCACAATGGAGGGGCGTGTTTGTAAGGGGGTCCCAGAACCCACCATACACATGCACTCAGACCCCTCATGCACACCCAACACACACTGCAGCATGCGCACTCCCCACAGCCCCACAAACCCCATACCCACTCACACATCCATATCCACTCACACAGCCACATCCCCCCACTCTTCCACACACACACATCCAGTCCCCCAGAAACCTAATACCCACCTACCCCTACTTATACAAGAATAAGACCTGATTTTGAGCTATTATGCAATCATCTCTATGTACACTATGCAAACCCCAAAACTTGTTAAGCGGCCCTCCAACTAGAATAATTGCCTGTTCTGATCTAAGGTGAGGTAAACAGCAAACACGTCTCTGCTCTCAGGAGCTAATTAAAATGAAAAAATGCCTGGTGGTCATTTTTAATATTTAAAATTAGCCTTGAGGGGAAGAAAACTAAAAACAAACAAAATGTTGTACAACTAGAGTCAAGTGGATTCTCTTCATGTTTGTGTTATAAAAGTTTATTTGTTTTTATTTTTAAATTTTAAAAAGATGCTTATTTACATACTCCTCAGGAACAGAGTAAGAGCCAGAAATACAGTGTGCCAATCTGTTCCAAATAATCCAACTTCGCACCACAAGCCAATCTTTAGAATCAAAGAAAGAATTAAGTACCTATCAAAACTAGATTTTCCCTTGCCCTTGCTATTGCTAAAAATCTGTATTTTGCAGTATGCCTTAAAACCAACAAATCTGATCAGAGAAAATGGATAAATAAAGGAAAGGATCAGTATGAGTTTCTACAAACATATATGTTATAAAGTTTCTGTTCTACTCTTACAGATTTCATTCAACTTGGGCTGCATACACACAGATGTGCCTTTCTGTCTCTTTTGGGATCTAAAATACATAGAGAAGACAGCAAATTTCTAGTAAAGTTCAATAATCTGGAAGAATTTTTCCAGGTTTGCTCTCCTGATAGAAAAACTTACCTAGAGCTGTATGTACAGACAGTTGAACGCTGAGGCCCTGAAGAGTAGAGAGCTTGCAGTGCTGACACTGCAGCCAGGGGGCCCTTACGCACACGTGTCAGTGAGCTCTGCAGGCTCCCTTAGTCTGCCTGGTGACAGACAGTAGTAGTGCACAGGGTAGCCCTGAGTGGCTGACCCAGAGTATCTATTGTCAGCATGTGTTTCTCCCTTCTGTAGAATGTAGGGATTTGTGAAGGGGATATATTATGTTCCCTGCAGGAGCTGCTGAGTTCAGCCAGTGATAAACTGGCTCCCTGGGATGTAGGAGGGCTATGTTCTCTTCTGAGAGAAACCACATATACAGAAATTTGCTCTGGTTGTTCCCATTTATTTTTCTCCTGGAACAGCCATTTTTACTCTGAAAGAAAAACCTTGAACACTCGTGATTTCTCCTGGGAGAGTCACTGCTCTCCCAGAAGAAACTGAATGTCTGTATGAGGTCCCGGTAAGAACGCTAGATTCACAATTAAAAGGGAAGTTTTACAAGAAACTTTCTATTAACAGATTTTCAAATGTCTAGGCATAGATTCCTAAAAATTAATTAATTAATTAATTAAATAACCTTCACAAGATTTGCTTGGCTAGCTGGTGTCTGATTTTGGAAAATAACTGTTACAATGGAAAACATTTAAAAAGCAATAAGGAAACCCAGCCCTCCTACTTCCCTTCACCCTAAAAACAGTGTGCACCCCAAAATATTGTGCAACTATGGTGGATAACTTTTTCCAGTCACAATGCTTATGAACAATATTCTTTTCTGTCATCTCCTGTCTGTCTTAGATTGCAAGCTATTCTGTGTTTGTACAGTACCTAGCCCAATGGAGGCTCATTCATGACAGATCCATGGGCACTACAATAAACAAGATTAATTTAAAAAATGACAGCAATTTTTATTTTAAAACAAGTTTCACTTCCAAAGACAGCAAAATGCTCTCAACAGAGGATCCAGGCCAGTACTGTCCCCTATGCCAGTTTATAAAATGATTACTTAATAAATGACAATATGACTTTAGACTGGATAAACCTCCATCCTTATCTTGCTTCACCCCACACTCCATCGTCCAACACCATATCTCTTTTTATACCAAAGTTGTGGCCAAGTATTTGGAGATTTGGAACCCCTGACAATTTCACTAGTCAGTACATCTCAGGACTTGGCTTAGGCTCTGTATTACAAGTACCTTGAGGTAAGGAACATTTAATATTTTATTTGTTAATAAAGTCCTAAGTACATGGAATGTGCTATGTACCTAAGTACAGTAAGAAGTACTACTGAGTAAATGTACTACAGGAAGTTTTAAAAAATGATTTTTTTAAACTGATCTTTATATGTCCTAAATTAACTTGCTTCTTCAGTTAGGTCTATACCAGGACATATAGGTGTGCCCAAACTAGCTTTAATCTAATCAGCTCAGGTGACAATGCAGAGGGTAGGGTAGGGTGGCACCTTAGAAACTAAGAACTATGAAATTTCATAGGCAACAGCCTACACTGTCAGTGCAGTAAGACAAGGAACTATGGAATTTTATTGCCTACTCTATGTATTCCAGATCCCAGAAGAGCAAGTAGTCAGGTGTGTTGGTCTGAAGGAAGGCAGAAGGCAGGACTGGGTGGTACCCTTAAAGAGTTAGTTTCTATAGTGGCTTATACATGTGCTCAAGGTGGGGGGGAGGAGGGTGCATTTTACTTAGAGTGGTTCCTGGACAGTTGCTTCAATTAAAATGGCTTACTCTCATGTGTATTAAGCTCCAGCACATTTAAAAATGGCCACGGGCCATTAGACAAGGTTTAGATAAAGCGCCCTGAGGCCATCTTAAAATGCTCAGGGGCTTACTACACATGATGGTGAGGGGACGCTGGACCGTTCCAACTACAGCATTGCATTCTAATTAGAACACTAAATAGCACATCTATAGTCACCCTCTAGGATCCCAGAAAGGCATGTATGGCCCACACTGAAACCTATAGTGACAAATCTTCACTACAGTGTTACCTACACTACTTAGATTAAAACAAACCTATTCTTTGATTGCAATATATGTATGCTATTTGTCAAATATATACTTCTAAGCTTTCCTACACTTCTAATGAGGAAGAAATAACTAGTCAAGTGAAGACGATCAGTTTCATGTTCAAATACAGGCAGTCCTTGACTTACAATGTTTCAAATTACAATGTTTCGCCTTATAACACTTATAAACTGACACCCTATTTCAACTTTATGACATCAGTTTCGACTTTACAAAGCTTTATCTGATGTGACGCCACACAAGCAAACAAGTTTGCTGCATCGCTCATCTCCCTGGAGAACATCTGTCCAAACTTCCTAGGACACTTTCTTTAAGAAAGCAGACAAGACTCCAGAAAAACCTTCAGCCAAGACTCCTGAGAAGACTCCAGCCAAGAACCCTTCAAAACGTCCAACCAAGAGCCTTTCAAAAAGTCCAGCAAAGTCACCTCAGAGAAGTCCTTCCAAAGCAATATGATCGCTATTTACAGTAGTGCAAGCACCTACTCTGCACTCCTTTAGGAAATGTTTGGATGCTTATCTTGCTGGGATCCTATGACCCCAGCTGACTTCCTGCCTCTTGGGCAGGGGGCTGGACTCGATGATCTTCTGAAGTCCTTTCCAGCCCTAATGTCCATGAAATCTATGAATGTAGCTATATTACTCATCTATAATTGATCGAGTACAAAATTCTGGGTTAATTTTCGTAAAAATAGGGAATCAGGCCTTGGTTCAGGAATCAATACCTCATTGTTTCTTATGAGAAAATTGGTTGCGAGTTACAACTTTTCAACTTAAGACGCGGTTTTCAGGAACCAATTGTATCGTAAGTCCGAGGACTGCCTGTACTCAATTTCTCAGCAAGCAAACAAATGGTTTAGAAGTTCTCCTTCCTGACACCCAGACTATATTTATACACTGAAGAATTTTCTCCATTATAACAGCATAGTAATCTCATAAGAAATGTTTGGGGGGGTTTTAATGCCATAATAAATATATATCCCCGTGGTAGAGACTACTACAGTCAGAGATCACAAATTAAATCTGCCTTAAAATTTAGGTTTTAT